GAGAAAGGAGTAAAGGAGACTCAGAAGCGTGGCAGCTGCCATTTTAGAATGCTTATGTAATTTTGCCTACTAGAGTCCCCTGGAGGGTTTATATAAGCAGAATTATTCTCATGCCAACATGCTTTCAGAACACAGTCAAAGGATGGAATCTTTATCCCTAGAGGTACAGTACCCTGCACAGAGGTCTTGTAGGGTTCTGCCAGAACTTGATCAAGTTCATGTTAGTGTGGTACAAATCACTCTGAAGAATTTTGTTGTGACCATTACTGAAACATTTTAAATCCAAACTGCTAATCACTATTTTCTAGAAATGAAAAAACATCTGATAAATAGCAGCATGGCAATAACTGTTAAGAAACATATTTCAGAAAGCTTGTTGATGGTAAAATTTAAGAGTTATTAACTCCGTTTTCTTCTTAAACGTTACAGAAAATGAATGCTGACCCTCATGCTCTCTAACATTACCCATGGCATGACTTACGGGTGTCAGTACCATTATAGCTCAAGAAATGCCCAACTGAACCAAGTCCTGTGCTGTGATTTAGTTTTTGCTTTTGTCAGCCAGTAAGTTCAGAGGGTATTGTTCTGTGCTGAAAAGCCTTTCTTTCTGAGATGGAAGGGGCAGCCTGCTTCCTCTGATGCTGCAAATAAACAAGTACTAAATTGCATGGCACGTTGAAGTGCTGGACGAAGCTGCAGTTCAGCCTGTTTGGTTACAAAGCTGAGCAGCCAGCTGTTTGCAAATGTTGCTGTGTTAAGGCATGCACTGGGTCTCCTGTAGCTGAGAACTAATTTTTGTCTTCTAGCATTTTAAATAGCCAAACGTGATATTAAAATAGGTTTTCTTGTTTTCCAGCCTTACATTTTCCTGCGATGGACATCACTTGTTCACGGCTAACAGTGATGGAAACGTTATCGCTTGGTGTCGCAAGGACCAGCAGCGACTGAAGTTACCCATGTTCTACTCATTCCTTAGCAGCTATGCAGCGGGGTGATGACTTTTTGCTGCTAACTCGTGTCTCTGATGCACTTTAAATCCAAAATAGATTAAAGAATCTTATTTTACTGGATTTTGAAATAGTTTGAATGTCTCTAGAATGTATCTAGATCTTAAAGAACAGTCTGAGGCGGTTGTAAAATTTTGTGCATGCGCAAACTTTAAGTCTGTCAAGGTCACCAGGAGGCTCTGGTTGTATACTCCAATACCAGCAGTGGTGTACAAATGCTCTAATCTACAAGTCAAAATGCTGCAATATAAAATGTAATATTTTTTTAAATCACTTCTTGGAAACAAGTATTTCAAAAATTGAATCAGTAATGTTTATTTCCCTCCGATGCTGTAAAATATCGGCAGCGCAAAGTTCTGTAAATACTTATAAAAATGTCAGCGTATGTATATCTGATTAATGAAGGGTGGTACAGTTAGCTCTGGGATAAGTGACCGAAAACTCAAAAATCCAAGATGATTCAAAATTGCTTTTTTGAGAAGCAAAGAATTCAGTAGGTGCTTTTTGCACCATCTTATGGTATTGTAATGTTGGAAAATTTTGATTTATCTTTCTTTGTAACTTTTGCTGTCTCTTCTGTTCAGATGGCATAATAGTCTTTACAACAGACAAAAAATATTTGTCTTAATGATGGGCAGACACCTCATAGCATCATGAAGCAATAGTTACATTGTGTTTTGTTTTTTTTTCCATGTGGGGTTAACTCCCTAAATTTGTAACACCAAGCTATGTGATTTTGTGGCAGACTGCATATACACTATACACACACAGCTTATTTTCCAGAGCTCTAAAAAAGGCATTAGAGAAGGCAGAGATGTGTTCCTATTCCTGGTGTCATTGAACCCATACATTGTAAAATGTTTGAATCCAAATATTTAAATGAATGTCCATAGGCATCAGGTAGTTCAAAACAGTTTATACAGATACACTGTGCAAATACGCTACTTATTCCTAGGTGCTATTTTTGAGAGGGAAAAAAAGCCTCAGTTGTTAAAAGCTTAACAAATTTGAATTTTTAGGCCAGATCAAAACCTAACGGTTCAGTTGATGGATTTTTAAGACTTTAAACCTGACTGACACCATGAATGATGCCTGCTAGTCATGCGAATGGGAAAACATGAGGATGCTACACAAATCTAATGTAGTTCCATTTTTCTTCCAAATAGCTTTGCTTTTCTCATTGACACACTCCCCTATTGCCATACAAACTGCTGTCTTATGTTAAAGGTTCACCTGCCTTCCAAATGCTGTATATGAAATTGTCACACTATGGAAAGCATGCACACAAGAAATCTATACACTTCTTTCTAAAATTCCAAATGGTCTTTACAGAAATTCTTGCGACTTCCTGATTTGAACTTTCCAAACCAGAAAGTCTTGAAGTCTTGTTGGTCCATGACAACAAAGACTGATGTTTAGTTCGATTAAGCAAGTGGCTGTATGAACTGAGTTGTAAACTGCATATATTGTCGTGGCATTGTATGGGATGGCTTCAGTCATGTTTTTTACTGTCTAAATGTTAATGTAAGGTCCAAATGCAGACTGAAAAGCTTCTTGGCTCATGTTGAAGTGATGTGCTTTATTTAAGAGACAAAATACAAATGTCGTGGTTTGGGGGTGCTCTTGTGCTCCTTGATTTGGGGTGTTGCTCACAAAGGCTTATTTTTCTAAAGTAGAATTCCACTTGTTACAAATCAATATGCAAAATTGCTGGCCTTGTAAAGAGTGCAATATTATATATTTTTATGTAAAAAACAAAGATTTTTTGGAAGCAAGGAATATTTATTCAGCTTAACATTCTGGAACTATTAAAATAACATTGCAATAGTATATGTGCATGATGTACTGAAACTTCTGTAAATGTCACATTCCACACTGTCTTTGTATACACTGTCACATTGTTGGGTAATAAACAGATCTTTGTATCAAACTGAGATGGGTAGAACCATGTTTTTGGCTTAGTTTCACCTCTCTTTCAGGCATCTCTCACTCACTTTGCTCCAATTTAATTTCTGCTCATTTTCAGGTCTTTCATCTTTCAAAATACTTGAAGCGGGGAAGTTCTGTTTGTGGACTACATGATGTGACTGCTAAACCGAAGGAGGGGGACTATGAGAGTGGAAGTGGGAAACCTAAGGTACATTATTTTGTACAGGTGTGTACATGTCCCTCCTTCTCCGGGGATATAACAATAAAATTTGAAGTCCCTAAACAGACACTTTTTCCGTCTTCCCAACCATCCACTTCTCTTTGAAAACTTATTTAAGCTGCGGAAAGGTGGAAAAGCAGCTCCTCTCTGTACTCATGGAGCAAAGGAAGATCACTAAGGGGAGGAAGGGAGGTGCTGGTGGGAAGTGAGGAGTGGGATCTCTGGTAGGGTTCTGGCAGAGGGTGCAAAGGTACTGCTGTTGGAAGCCAAGGTCTGGGACAGATTCATGTGGCGAGGCCTATCTGATAGCACACAGGATCTGATTTCTGTGGTGAATCTGGGGATCTCTCTGGAGATGTATAGTGAGACAGGGAAGGCCAGGCAGTAGCCAGATGTTCACTTGTAGCGGGGAGAGGAGTGCAAGTCTCCAAACCATTACTGGGAAAGGGAACTCAGACCTTGGGTTCAGCCAGTATCTATCCAGTGCTTAGAGCAAAACCATTATAATGAATAGAAGGAATGAAAGAAGATCAGTAGAAAACTAAGTGAACTGAAAACTGAATCAAATGGGATAAAATGTTTTGGCAAGGGTGTGGAGTTCTGTGAGGAGATAAAATGTAAGAAGTTTAAACTTAGAGTCTGAAATATCTACTTTAAAGATCTTTGCATTTAAACCCTATCCTTGAAGACAGCTGAATTAAAGAAAAATAAATAAAAATATTTTCCTGCATACTGAGCAAGAGTCTTTCTCCTCAGGATTTCTTGAGTTACTATTTGATCTATGCATTTTGTGGGAGGGGCAAAAAGCCTCTAGAGAGCAGGGAAGGGAGGGGGGAGGAGAGTACACCCAGGTATTGTAACTAACAAATTTTGCAAATTCAGTTTACCTTCAAATATGGGTAGTCCACAACCATATAGACAGAAGTGTAACTCCAGAGTTAATTAAGTAAGGTGAAGCTCTGTAGAATGTAAAACTGGAAGTGTTAGCCTTTTTTGGTGTGTGGAAGGAGTCCAAATAGGACTGACTTTCTCCATGCTTTTTGCTTAAAGCTGTATTGGATTTTTTCCTCACATATGGAAAAAAGTCACAAGACATATGCTGCTACTCTACCATGATAATGTAAGACAAATAATGTCTTAAAGCTGCTGCTCGCCTTGAGAATATTACTCTGCATTAGTTGAGCTTGCAGAGGTACTGACAGCATTTTCTTTGACACGATATTCAGTTAAAACTGCTGACAAATGACCTCTGTGCTAGTAGGATCCAGAGCTGCTTGCTGCTCTGGGTGAGGTCTGAAAGCCACTGGTTTGTCAGCTGGGTTTCTGTAACAGGCTGTGCTGCGTTTCACAATTCAGGTGGGTCGCTCCTGAAAGGGGATTAAGTATGTGACTGCTCTGATTACAATCTTCCACTTCGTTGAGCTACCTGGTAGAAAGTCAAACAAAAGCATGAGCTGGCTCCCTATTTCCAGCTTGCAAGCCACCTTCGAAGAAAAACTCAAAGATCCTAAATCTCCAACGCGATTGCACAATGTCTGCACTACCGTCATTAGAGGCTAGTTGTGCAGGCTAGCAGGCACCAGGCACAAAACTGTGCTTTAAAGCAGCTGTTTCCCCCCTTAACTTCTAGATATGTCCGAATCCCCCAGTAAATGCGCCGTGTGGGCTCCGTTCCTGTACCATCTCGCTATCTGAGCCGCCCTGGCGCTGCCTCCCCTCACGGCCGCCTTCCCGCCCGCTGCCGCCCCTCAGCGCCTCAGGGCGCCGCCCCGCCATGTGCCGCCGGGCGGGAGGAGCCTGGGCAGCCCCGGGAGCCCGGCACCGGGCGGGGACCGAGCGGGATCGGGCGGGATCGAGCGGGATCGGGCCGAGCCTCCGCCGCACTGCCCGCCCGGCGGCCCGGGGCTTCGCCTGCCGGCACCCAGCTCGGCTCGTCGCCGCCGGGAGCAGCGCGGGGAGCGCCGGGCGGCACAAGCCAGGTTCTGCCGCTGGGGCTGGGGCTGGGGCTGGGAGCGGGGCGGAGGGGGCAGCCCAAGGGGACGCTGGCTTATACAGCACGGGCACGGCGACGGGAATCGGTGGAGCTTGGCGGTGGGATGGGGCTCGGCACTGTGTTAGGTGTAAACCGAGCTGCTGAAGTTGGGCTGTTCCGCAGTTAGGTGGTCGGCAGCTCTCCGTGAAGTTGGTGTGTGTGTGGAGTGACGGGTCTGTCCGTGACCAGCGGTCCTGCCTCTAGGCTGATGGTTTCTGCTGGTGCTGCTGAGGGGATGGAGTTACCCCTGAAACTCCTTCCTGTCAGTTTGGCATCAAACAAGGCTGGAGACGGTGCTGTTCGTATTCCTGGTGTGTTTGCGGGTGGCTAGGTACATCTGGGGATCTTTCTGCATTTTAGAATTTGATTCACTATCGTATTTGGTTCAGGGACTATTCCCTCAAATGCCATTGGGACTAACTGCGTGATTTGGGTTAAATGTTTCTGCTGTGCTGCGTGGCCCAGGGGCTATGGAGCTGGTGCGGGAGGTGCTCTTCAGAGGGGGGAATCCCAGAAGCTGCAGACCACACCAGAGCAGTTGGCAACCTTATTGAAAGGTTGTTGAAAGAAAGGGGAACGCAACAGATGGGCGTGGGGCTTTTTAGATTTTGTTCTACAGTGCGCCCTTTTGGTGTGGTGGTTTACGACCCTACTCGGAAGTGTAAGGGGGAAAATTCACCTCACAGCTTTTCATCCCATCCCTTCTCATCCCATTCCTCATAGAAATCCACACTGAAGAGCTTGAAACTACATTTTGCTTACACGTTCCACAGTATTTCAGACCCTGCATTTCACTAATGGGCATTAGTAATGTTTGGTAAATGTATGTTGCACCTCTTACCTATGCAAGGTCAAATTGTTCCTGCAAATATGTAACTTCCTGGGTTATCAGGAGATAACTTGGCCTTTGAAGCGCTGTCGGGTACAATCTGTTCTGAAAACAAACAAAGAAAAGTTGCTCTTCACAAGCGTTTTTATGAGCCCCGGAGATTAAAATCTTTGGCACAAAGCAGTTAACTGTATCCAGCAAAAAAAGGATGGGGTTCATCTCAGGTAAAAAGGTCAAGCAAACAGACAAAGCCCCCTCAGCTGGATGGGACGGGGGGCTGTCACCACGCAGCTTTCAGGAGCAATAAGTTTGGAAACGGCTGGCCAAACGCGGTGTGCCATCCTACAGAAACTGCTTGGCCAAAAAGGGCCGTGCAGGGGCTATTGCTGTCATTCGTTAATGGGATGAGCGCTCCCCGTAAAGAAAGGAGTCACTGAGACCAGACCGGTGAGCTCGGTGCTCTGCATATTTTTAATATGCTGCATAAATGAGCTCCCGTGTGATCTAGGACCGCTGGCATGCACCAGTAGCATGTAGACTGCACGTAGTCTGATCACAGCAGGGTTACTGTAACTAGGGTGATTATCAGAGCCCGTGTGCCTATGCATCAATCTAACCTAATAGGGGGCTGCTGGAAAAACAAGCAGGGGTGAACATCGTGAACCCAGCTGAGTAATTTCTGGTTCGAGCTATTCCTAGAAGCTATTCCTTTTGGGCACCGTGTAGGCTGCTGCCGTGCAGGTCACAAACCTGGCTGTGCCGTCCCGGAGAACACCTCAGTGCTTGGAGCAGGGCTGGGGCTGTTCATCAGCTGTGGGCTCAGCTGGAGCACTGGGACGGACATCCCACAGCTCTTCATCTGACAAAGAGGGTTCCTCAGATTCCAGGGAGTGAGCCTCCAGACAAAGGGTATACGATTGTCTTGTTATTAAAATTTATTTTCTCTCCAGAGCTTTATTTCTAAGTAACGTTATTTCATTAAAGAATATTGAGCCCATGGTTACTAAAGCATATCATAGGTCCTAAGGAGTGCAGAAGCACGTCTCAGCCAAAGCTTTAGCCACTAAGACAGCCAGCTCATCACAGTCAGGTTTGGGAGTGGGAACAATTCAGATTGTCAACACCATTTAATATCTGATAGGGTCATAACCGATACGCCAGCGCGGACTCTATTTGTGCATGATGAGGGAAGTCAGAGGTGTATTTAGCTTAGTAAGTGAAATGTGAAACGGGATAAATCTGCCTTATGAAGTTCTAGAACCAGAAATGACATGAAAAAAAAGAGCTTGGATACTTAAATGGGTGCTAAGCACTCCCAGAACTATGGTAGTTACATACTGAGGTGTGTGTAAAGGTCAGGGTAGGAGCAGGCTTTGGAACAGAACAAATGTTTGTGCCTTAGGGTATAAATAAATGAGGGATAAATGAAAATTTTCTCCAGTGGATGAAACACCTGTGGCCAGATTGTTTTCTTTTTTAGAAGTTTTTTTTTTTTTTATAAAACCACTTAATCTGGTCATTTTCTAATACCATGAAATAATTTACCAAAGTAGCTACATATTTCGCCCCCCAGCTTTGTTGTATCGGAATATAGGCACGGATGTATTTTGATGTTTGTGGCGTTGTTTGGGAGAACAGGGTTTGGATTATTTTAAACATTTTTGTGCCTAACAGACTGTTCAGAATTCCTTCATGGTCATCACTGAATCCCTCACCCAGCAGATGCTTAAAAACCAGCTGGAATTACTAGAAACGCTCAAATTTTCTGGTTCTAATGTGTGTAACTTCTATGGTTTGAGTGAACTACCAGAAAAGCCGGGGAGATCTGGAATCCTCGAGACTGTTCGTGGAGTTTCAGTTACTCAGTGCACTTTAATTGAACTGTATTATTCAAAATCAAATTTCTAATTTGCCTCTGGACTTCGCTGTGCACATGAAGACATGGCTCTGTACTTCACTTAGCTTTGATTTTTCATCTCTGTGGTCATTACTAGTCTAGCCATGGGGATGATAACAAAATTTAAATGATTTATACTTGGAGGGGCATAATTTTGTAAACAAAGATGAATGTGTTTACTCTTGTCTTTATAGCTTAAAAGCTGGGGGGGGATCAAAGAAAAAGGCAAGAGATGAGCTGTAATTCTGCACCTCCCGCTCTTGTGACTGCCTGGGAGCCTCTCTGCTCCTCCACTGCAAGGCAAAACACATCCGAAAATTGTTTGGAGGCTGGCTGGTTGGTTGTGGGTTTTGTACTGGGCATTGCATTTTATGCAAAGGCAGCTCTTCCACGTGTAGTTAATCCTGTACCCCGTGAGGAAATGAGTTAGCAGATTGGAAACAAAGGCAAAGAGGGGGAAAAAAAGCTCCTGCGGTCTAACACAATTTTAGTTAGAGTGCATTTCAGGGAGAACTGTGTGTTCCGCTGAACACACACATAGAGAAAACGTGTTCTTTGTATTTGCGTGTATTAAAGCACCTGTTTTATTTTGACTCACAATATAATTTAGGGTAGCATTTCTACTGCCCAAGCTTGTACAAGTACTGAAAAAGGTTGTCATGTTCCTACAAATTAGTGCTGAGCATGGTGAACCAGAGATGGTGAACCATCATATTTGTATTCTTCCATCCATATTTACCATCAATTCCATATTTACAGCACAGACTAACAATTTCAGGAAGGAGAAGTAACAGCTATCATTGCCTTGTCTCTGCATGTGAGTGTTTTCTGAGATCAAACCAGTTGAAAAGTTCTTCCTCCGTTCCTTATGTGCTCTGGATTGTGTTCTACTGACGCAAAAACGCTGAGGACATCGTGTCTGTCATTTTTGTTTACAAGAGTATTTGCTGTGTCATACTTAATTTCTTGTTTATATCTCATCCCCTGGTTATTGGATTAGGTAAGCTATTGAGTTTCAGGAAGGGAAATTTGTGTAGTTATAGATGTTCACTGCTTGTCCAAAAATAAGCTGGAAGCAGTCGTTTCGAAAGACTGGCTCCTTAGGGAGTATCAGTGCAAGAAAACCACTGTAACACTGACGTACCCTAATTAGATGTCCCTTTGACCAGCTCATGCCGTGATGTGTACGTCAGGCAGTAATTGTGTTCTTATGTCTCAGTATCCGTGGACCAAGGAGACTTCTGAATCGCCGCTGCTTCAGGACACCTGAGGGCAGAGAAAATGGCTTGAACTGCTTAGCCATGAGCTGCAGGGGCTTCAGCACTGAGACTCGCTCCTCTTCTGCTCCTTCTACATCACCCACTCCCTGATCACAGCCTCACTCTGCCCAAGGTTTTCTCAATAGGTCTTAACTCAGCGGTTCCCAAATCTTTTGGATTAAACCACTGCCAGACCTTAAAATTAGTGCGCACGGCTACCAAATCCTTAACTGAAGTCCCAGTGGATCTCACTGCTTACTGCTTGCTGTGGCTCCTTGAACCAGGCGTGGGACATCTGCCTCGGCCTCGTGGGCTGCAGCTACAGCCGCACCCAGCAGTGCTTTCTGTAGTGCACTTCTGCACTTTGCTCCCAGCAGTGCCTTCTTCAGTGCGCTTTTTCCTCATGCTCATTTCAGTTTAGAAACATGGTAGTATTTTCTCAGATTTGTAAACTACCAGACTGACAATTATAAAAGCAATCTCTTTGCTTTTGTTAATTGTTTTTTTTTTTTAACACTCCATAACCTTGATACCTAAGTATTCCTCAGTGAGTAACTCTGAACTATTAAATTCCCGTGCCAGCAGGACTTGGGATGTTGTCTCTAAATCTGCACGTTGCCAAAGGAAACGCTAAAAAGCAAGGGAAAAAGAACCAAAGTCATTCTGCACAACTCCTTTGCTTAACCTGGTGTTCGGCAGGTTAGTTTCCCAAGAGTTGCAGATCTCTTCAAAAACAGTGCATTCATTTTGGTGTAGCATACCATGCTGTACATGGTTTTAGTTGTCTTTTTACTTTGTTGGAGATCTGCAAGAAAAAATTGGAAACCACAGCATTATTTCTTCTCAGTTTCTTCATTTCTAAACTACTTATCTTTATAGGCATAATATTGATTTATTTTCTTACCTTAAATATCTCTGTTTCTGATGCTTGGTGAGATACATGTGGCATTCAGTCTCATCGTGCACATTTCTGGACTTGTTCTCATGTGAGTAGGTGTAATTGGTGTATGGAGCCAAACTGCATGGTGACTGCAGGGTCTGTTTGGGAACAGTGTCCTGAGCTTCTGAACCAGGGTGACAGGTTCTGCACTGAAACACTGGCAGTGTAATCTGCATTTATGTGTTGTTTGCAGAATCCAGGATGAATAGTTGCAGTCAACGATGCAATCAGGTGCTACTGAACAAGAAAACAGATAGAAATGGTATCTGATCTGTATTTATAACCTAACAGCCTGGCAGTGTCAATGTGGTGGTGTGGGGGCACTGGTTAGATTTCAGTAACTGTCTTATCACTAATTGGTGTATTTGCTGGCTGTACTTTTAAATTGTCTCAACTTTGTCTCCTCCAGGGAAAACAAAATGAAGGAATTAATGTCGAACAGTACAACCAACATATCTCAAGCCAGGAAAGCTGTGGAGCAATTGAAAATGGAAGCATACATGGACAGAATGAAGGTAAACTTTGACTTTTTGTCAATATTTTGAATGTACTCGCTGCTTTGTGGTACAGCCTACCTTTAATAATCCAAAAAGTCTGGATAATCTGAAATCAAAATTCTGTGTTGAGTTATAAGGCAGTATCAGCTCATAAACTCGTAAATTAAAACGACAGTATTTATAACTCAGAAATATTAGTGCAATTGACATGAGTAGTCAGTCTTGCTTATATGAAAATATAAATCTCAGTTGCTGGATTTTGTTTCAGTTTTTAGCAGTGGCTTGCTAGACCACTGAATTTGCATAGCTGTGGTTTCTGTCTCGTAGAGTATCCTGGCAAGTCCATTACATAATAGAAGTATGCTCCTAGGGATGGGTATTTGTTTCCTTACGTATGGCTCTGCCTTTTCAGTGCAGCCCTCCAGGTTAGCTTTCAGACGAGTTGGTCACCTGATTTAAGCCACATTGCAGCTGCATGAACAGAACTGACAAGAAGAAAAGGGTGTGAATGAGTGGCCAAGAAGAGGGTTAAAAAAATGTGGGCCACGTTATTGTAATTTGAAATTGTTGATACTCAGTAGATTGTCTTAAACTTGCTTTTATGTAATCAAATTATAACTTTCACACACCGAATCGTTAGCTCGGTTCTGCAGATAGCTTCATTTGTTGGATGTATAATGATGTTCTTAATTACATGTGTAAGAATGACATAGGCTATTTTTGCAGTTAGTTTAATTAACAAGAACACAGTTATTAGCATATGTAGTAGACCTAAAAAACAGATAACTTAAAAGTGCAATTGTTTTACATTTCAGTTTGGGACTGCAGAAAGCACCAAAGAAAAATCTAATGTGTTTCATTAGTCCAGAATATATGTTAACATAATGTACAACTAACATAATGTGCAATTAATGTATATGGGACACTAACACAAACTAAGTATGATTTGCAAATGTTTGGTCTTGATTTCTAGAATGTCTTTGAATGAGTATATGAGGGACTGTGAAAAGAGCTTGGTTGGTTTTCTTATTTCCTCAAGATCTGCTTTGCTCTCTAATCTTTGAAATAGTCAAGTGTGTGCTTCACTATAGGTGAATTTTGCCAAGAGACTTCAAATGGTTTTATCAGGAGATCAGAGTTCTCAGATCATAACTGTAAAGGTAGAGAAAGGAATTAATTTCCTTTTTTTTTTCCCAGCTGTTTTGCAAATGCTTAAACAAGTTAGACATTTAGATCAGTTCTTTCCAAATAACTTCATTAGACACTGTTTTGCAAGTTGCTGTAACGAAGTGGTTATTCCCATAGTAGACAAGACCACATTGTTAACATGAAAAAGGAAATTTTCCAGGTACCTGCATTATTGACCAGGGAAATTAGAAGTTCCACCTCATTTTTCTACTACAGAGGCACTTTGTAGTTTCTGTAACCAGCTACAGTTGGCTCTGCTCAACTAAAATGTTGTAATTTGAAGTACATTTCTAGTTGCACATTCCCCACTGTGTTCTCGATTTTTTCAACTGATTTAAAAATCCTACAGCCATTCAGAGCAGCAAGCAATGCCATGTTTTGAGGTTCCACAACCTTTTTTTCACACTGCTGAGGTGTGAGAGAAACAGGACAACTTAAAAGGAGAAGACAAAGATATGCATGTCCAGATTGGTGGCTGGAAGGAGTATTACCATGGTGGATTTTTGCAAACCTTGAGAATGAGAAGCCCCCAAAGGATCGTAAATTGAAGCTGTCTTCCTTCCCTGCAGAAGGAATGGCTGGTATTATAATGAAGTAAGTAGAAAGCAGGAGGTGCAGATTCCAAGCTAGAAATCATGAAATGAAATCAGATGAAAAATGGCCTCATGACTGGTAGAATAATGCGTCTACCAAAGATACTAGCAGTGAAGTTGAGAAAGCAAAGATAATACTGGTGCTTTATCACAGTTGTCCCAAGAATAAAGCACTACTTAATCTTCCCTTCACAAGCAGGAAAGCGAGGAGGAGTGCTCTGACACTAAGCATGGTGGTGTATCAGCTATTATTCCATTTTCTTTTTTCTTTAAGAAGGTAGAAAATATCCCCAACTGTTTCTGAATGGTGTTGGGAGATAAGTGGTGGGGTTGGCAATAAACGGGTGTGAATCTTTGTTTTAGATGTAAAGGATAAGCAGAGTGGGTGTCATAGCAAAGATGGTAATTAGTCACAATCCGTGACAAGACAGACATCGTAATTGCAGCATTTTGCCCTGTCATTGAAGCTTGTAATTATTAGCGCAGCTAACGGGATTATGTTCTAACTTCGGCTGTTTTTATCACCTCTGTTGTTCTGAAATGTAATGGTAAAATTCCACTGTCCTCCTGAGACTAATTCTTCAAAGCATCAGGGTTGAGCGTTTGTTGTTCTTTTTCTTCCTTCCTTTCAGTAGGTTGACAACCCGATGTATTTTTCATTGCACAGAATAAAAATAATTGTATAAAATGGGAGATCGGTGTAATACAGGATATAGATAGACTCTACCCCCTCTATCTACACATTTAAAATATTTTTAAAAATGAAATGCTAACTTCCTGTTAGAACTCATCAATCAAACTGGAGTCTGATTTTTTTCAGCCACTTCTGCAGTAGGTATAAATTGCTTTGAGTCTGCAGACCAAGCTGTATCGCGTAGGTGAGCTGAAATGATAAATGTGCGTTAGTTTCCTCTGGATATTCAAATCAGATGCTTTTACTTTAAGCCTTGGTAAAAGCTGTTCTGCAACTGCCCAGCATCATTCAGCTCCAAGTAAGCCTAAAGGTGAATAGAAGCTGTGATGGACTGGCCTTCACTTAACTCCCTCCGTGATAGAAATAGGGCGAGGAGCATATCATTTCCTATGGTCACCAACCACAGCATTGGCCATTAGGCAACCTGTGCGTGCTGACCTATGCTAAAAAAGCTGTCTGTCTGCTGCAGCTTTAATGCAGTGCGTAATGCAGAGGTCTTCTGCCACTGTTGTTCTGAATAATAACACTGAGCAGGAAACACACTGGAGGCATTGTTATATTTGGCATCTTTTTGCCCACAGTTCCGAATTTGGTTCCTGTGGCTGGGAGCAACATTGGCAGTGTTTTCATTGCTGCTGCAATGTGATGGTCTAACTTAACTCTCCACAGTAAGTGGACATTTTTTCACTGCATGAGCATGAGCTATGCCAGTCGAAGTGAAGAAATGCCGTAATTCAGTTTCACAATCACTGGAATCCCAATGGGAGGATTTCTCCTCCCCAGCTCCTTTTTTAAAGGATGAAAATGCATGGCCTAGTCCAGGCTGGGAGGTTGAGTTTGTGACAATGCACTGAAATGTGATCGTGTTCCTCAGTTTCTTGTTTGTTGTTCAGGTTTGCTTTCTACTAAATCGTATTATAGTTTGTCTGAAAGCAAACTAATTTGTGAATTAAACACCCTGATGTTGAAGAAGGTGCTTGCTCTGCTTCAAAATGTTTTGCATTCCTACCTGCTCAGTAGAGTGTAAGTTACGTATAAAAATGTGTTGCATTTTTGCTAGTGAAAATCTTTTTCATTGCCATATGATGTCAGAGCACGGTGATACGTAGAGAAAAAATGAAATTACTGGGCTTACCCCTCCTGAGACTGATGGCTGAAATTGCGTTTCTCTTTTGCTGAACAAAAAGAATGTTCCTGGGCTGATGCTGCATATCCGTACGTGAAACAAGCATGATAGTTATGGGAAGGTCAGTCTGCTGAAGTCCAGCGTTGATTCTCCACTCGTGTAGGATCAACCTGCTTAGAATGATTGTTGGTTTCATGAATAAAATAAAATAAAATAAAATAACTTATTCAGTACCTTAATAGTTGAAGATGAATGTGCTGAGCATCTTTAATAAACCCATTCTCAGGGACCCAGAGAATTAGAGTAGGTCTCCATTAGGTTTTGTGGCAGTAAAGTTGATGATGATGTAACACTATAAATGTCATTGAGTTTTTTTGTGGGCAACTGTGGCTCTGAATTTAACTTGCTCTGAGTGAAAGAGAGTTCAGGACCAAAGAAATCAATTAAAGCATAGAACTACTTTAATTTGAGAGATGCAGCATGAGCTTAAAAGACAATAGAAAAGTGAAAATGCTTATGTTAAGTAATTATGAATATTCTGGTGATTGTCATTACCTGAAAATACACATTCCTTCTGCAGTTACGGGAAACATGCTAACCTCTCCTTCAGGGGATGCATTCTATGCTAGGTTGTAGTTTCCTGAGGCCAGCAGTAGGTCATTAGCAAAGAAAAGCATCTTTGCTGTCTTCTGATCTTTTGGGGCTTGATACGAACTTCATAGTAAGTGACATTGTGCATCTCTCCAGAGAATCTGCTTTTTAAGAATTCACAAGTAAATTTAAATGAAAATTGGGAATATGATAGCATTCCCAAGCTTTCAGTTTGGCCATTATAATTCTATCTCTGAGTCTAGACATGCCCTTAATCTCATTCTTTTGTCATTGCTTAGCAAGTAGCTAATTGAAGAATGTCTGAAAATAATTAAAACTTTGTATTTGAAGTCTGTCTCTACTGCTTTTGCTTGTCCTGCTTCTCTTTTCAGAAGCAGTGGTCCTTCTTGATACCTTTGCCAGCTGGTTTGTTCATTTTGTTCTCAGTCTTCAGCTTTGTATTGGCCCAGCGATCTATTGTTCATCTGCAGTGTTTCTGCCCACCCTTTTGTCTCACAGGCTAATTCACGAGCCAACTAATTCTAAGTAACATAAACAGCCCTGCTTCCTCAGCTAGGAGATAGGTAGTCTACTGGGATGCCAACTGTAAGAGGCTACTGGGTTTAAGCATCCTACAAAGGCATGTTTTAGTGGATTTTAAAGATAGAAAGTCACTTATTTCCTTTGGGAAGCTAATTTAAATTTGCATGAATCATGATCTAACACCCACTGACTTCATAGGTCTAATCTGAAGCCTACTACGGGTTGGACTTCTACCAAAGCAGGCAGGGTGTGGGGAAGGTAAAGCTAACAGTGGCGACACACCTGTCAGAAGAATACCAGAAATCAGATTTGTTTTTCCTTTTTACTGTAGTTGTGCAAACTTGTTCACATCAGTATTTGGCTGAGGAGAATCTCTCCTGGTGCTCAGAGAAAAGATGTTTTTGTAAAGACTATCTCCTTTTTTCAGCTCCATTACTATATTGGAAACACAATAATTAAACAAAGCAAAGAGATATGGATAGTTGTAAATATCTTGCTAACAAAACAACTGAACAAAAATAATTCAAGTCTATATCTTAAGTTCTTGAAAAAAAAAAAACACACAAATAAATCACAGTGGCCTAATACCATCAATATTTTTAAGGCACAAATTTGCAAAGGTTTCAAGATTTCATCTAGAGCTGAAATATTTTCATTTTCCATTTCTTGCAAAATATCTTGAATATCAACATGCTGTTACATTTCTATAGGACTTTTCAGTAAGAATAAGCCAGAATTCAGAATTTGGAGACCTTAGAATTGTTTATTTTAGAAGCCTAAAAGTGTTAATGTAAAGATCAAGCTTCAATATGATGACTAAAGCATTACTTATAATAACTTACTAAATAAAAGATATTTGACTTCACTGAAAAAGGTGACTTCGGCTTAAATGGGAGCTATGAGAAATGATTTGCAAGTCTTGCTCCTGATTATTTTTTTTAATTCCATGGTCATGTGCCTAAAAAACTTTTCTTTTTCCCACATCTAGAGGAGGAAAGGGTAGAAAGAGTCTGTGGGGAACCATCCAACTTTGCTGCTTTAATGCCTGGGAATAAGAGCTGAGGCAGAAGGCCTCTACAAAGACGTGCTTCAAGGAGAATTGATATTGCTTATGAACTATTAGTAGCTAGATGTTTCATTGAGTATATGCTCCTGACCTTGCTTCTGATGGAGAGGAACAGCAGAATATGAGTCATATAAATCAATACCATCCCTTGTCGCTGTGTTAGGTAAAATGTGTATAGGGATTACAAGGCATACATCTTAGCAGCACAAATGCAGAGCTGTGGTTACTTGTAATGTAAAGAAGAATAAACCGGTTTACTATTTTATGAGTTTCCATTATTGTATGTTATATGAAGAATATTTATGTGATGCCAATTGGTTCAGATTTAAATGCTGTAATTGTTCTTTCTTCTCTTCTACTAGGTATCCAAGGCTGCAGCAGATTTATTGGCATACTGTGATGCTCATATTGGAGAAGATCCCCTTATTATTCCAGTACCTGCATCTGAAAATCCCTTCAGGGAGAAGAAACTCTTTTGTACTATCCTTTGAGTCAGTTTCCAATTAAAAATATCTTATGTTAAAATTTGGTATTGGTGGTGCATGCTATTGGTTTTAGCATATTTTCCTCAGATATCAATACTTAGCCCAGAGTTACAATATTTTTAGAAGGTAGTGCATTTTCTGGTATAAATAAGTAAAAGAATCCTAAAAAAAAATATCAAAGTAATCCTTATTTTTCAGACCAATGCACAAGTTTAATTTCAGTTTTCATGAAGATTATTTGGGTCTTAATGAAAGTATTGAGTACAGTATCATATTATAGATATCTTTGCCAGTCATAGATTTTTCTGAGACCTAAATGAGTCATACCGACTCCGAAGCTATTTTTAACATTCTAATTTTCTTTGGAAGGTGAGTTAATTCATTTGCCTTTACAAATTTGTATCCAAAAAGAGTAGTGTGACCTTTCTGCAAGTAGTATTGTTTAGGAAAAAATGCTGGTGATTTACAGTGTTTGGAATGATCAGTCTTATACAGTAAGTGATGTTTATAAATATGTTTTGTGAAGACTGTAATAAACTGGACTACAAAAACAACCTTAGCAGCACTGTCAGCATAAGCACAGTGAAAATATACAGTTACATACGAGTTCTGCATCAATAAAACTGAAAAAACGTGGCTGCTTGCACCTTATTTTGAATGATAGCATTTTAAATTATTTTTGCAAGGAAATTGAACTGTAATATATCAGCTCTTCCTGAGAGGCTTAGTGAAGGGTGTAAGTTCTGCCCTGATCAGTCCAGGAAGGGGGGATTACAGTTTCTAAGCAGCACTCTACATGCCTTCACTCATGAGAGCGAGACTTTATGGGGATGCAGAGCAATGGTAACAGAAGGTTGCTCTAGAATACACGTCAAGGACAGTGCCATCAACAGCCACCAAGTCTGTTTGTTCTGCAGCCACAGACTTGTCATGAGAGAAATTATCAGCAAATAATTTGGATGGTTCAGGGAGGTTTTTTCTTCTGGCTTAGTCTAAAGTGATGCATTGGGCTTATGTGTCAAGGGTTTGGTAGCAGGGGTCAGCAGGGGTGGCTTCTGAGAGCAGAGCGCAGCAGCTGCCCCGTGTCAGAGCAGAGCCAGCTCCAAAAGGGACCTGCCGCTGGCCAGAGCCAAGCCAGGAGTGATGTTGGTTGGGCCTCTGGGAGAGCAGGTTTAAGAAAGGGAAAAAAAGATGCTGTGCAACAGCAGCTGGGAGAGAGGAGTGAGAAACAGCTCTGCAGACACCAAGGTCAGTGAAGAAGGAAGGCAGGAGGTGCTCCAGGTGCTGGAGCAGAAGTGATCGGTAATAATCTCCCTACCTTGAATCTGTTTTGCTCATGGTGATAATTTGTGAGTGATCTCCCTGTCATTATCTCAATTCTTGAGCCACTTGATCATATTTTCTCCCTTTTTATCTTTAAAGGGCGGGGGGGGGACTGAGAGAGTGGTTGTGGTGGAGTTCAGCAGCCCAGCAGGGTAAAACCACAGGTGTGTAGCTACAGGAAAAGAATGAGATACGGAGTATGAATGATCAGTATTTATTAAGTACAATTAATATCAATCAAGGCATCTGATGGAAACAACTGTTATATTATTTACTTATTTATTTATTTAATGTCCTTCAAGAATGAATTGAAAGCTTCTCTCTGGTCTGTGCAGAAACTTGGATGCCTTGGGTGCCTTAAGAACCTGCAAGGCAAAGACTGGCTGAGGAATTGAGGGTCTTGGGATACTCCAATGTTGAATTTAGATGCCAAAAATGGCAGCTTGTTAAATGAAGCTTTTTGCAATTAGCTCAAAGTGCATATTCTTACCTTTGAATGTGTTTTTAACAGTTTCTGTCAGTGTTCATTGTACTGTTCCGTGCAGCAGAAACACAAGACGGCTGCATTGGGCACGTTTAGTTTTCTTTGCCAACCAACTCGGATAGCATGAGCTGACCGCCTGCATTCTGCTCCCCCTCTGGTCACACAGGACAGGTGGATTTGGACTGGGGCTAGCTCATTTACCAGCTGCCTAACACAAAACTGACATGTTAATGTATATAAGGTAATATTATTGTAAAAATAACATTTATCACATTAGAGTAATATTATTGTAAAATAATATATTCCTTGTAACTAATAGAGTTTCAGTGATTTCTTTCATGTAAAGGTTTGTGTTTTAATTTGCCAGCTGAAGCTATCAGTAGTGTAATAGGCACAGCTGCTTCAATGCCTATTCTGAAAACAAACATTCAAATGTCATGACTAGGTCTTGTTTTATTTAGGTTGTATCCCGATTCCCATTTCAAACTTCCCAGTTTAAGATTCCTATTCCTAACTTGTAACAAGAATATTTCCTGACGCACGGCGTGCTTGGCTTTGTCTTGGAGGGTAGGGAAACAGGCGTTAGCTGACTGGGTAGCTATTTCCTTGACAGTGAAATAAAAATGGCTTTCTGAAAACATTTGTTAAAATGGAGTAACAAAATGCTTAATAAGGTTCTTTAGGGAATCCTTCCTACACGGTAAATGATTTGGTAGCTGCGCTGATCACCATGGCAACATTTTCATTTGTCCTTCCGCATGTATGGTTTTAACTGGAGCAGCAAGGGAGGGGAATATAGGGCACACAGCGTTATTCTCAGAGGCTTTGTAAGAACTTGCATTTGTGGCTCATCATTAACATTCCCATCGAAAATAATAAAATTGCCACAGCTTATTACAGTGCTGCAAATAGCGTGCTTTCTGTTTCCAATTAGCATCTGAGGTCTTGAGATTGAAACATTTCACACTAGCTTTGAGCATCACCCATTTTAAGAGCTGTATTTCCAAAAACCCAGTGTTAGAAGAGGTGACTGTGATGGGTTTGGACTTCAGGTTTTTCTCCAAAACTTTTCTTGAAGTAGTTGTGAACATATTGAACCTTCTATATTTTTAATAGCTGGCTTCCTATGTTTGTGGTGTCTTTCATCAGCTCATAACTTAGTTTAAATTAAAAAATATATAGAGAGAGATTTATTAAGATGTTTTCATGCTTCTGATGTTAAAAAAGGAAAAACATGGAGAACTGTAAATTGCATATTTATTACAGCAGATGTCTATAACATACCTGAAGAAGTTATAACTGTATAAGCATAACACTGTGTTGGAAAACAGGACAGCTTTCTCCAGTGGCATTATGCCTTATTTACTAGTTCCTCGTATTAATATATTATGTTGGCAAACTGCTAATTTGAATGAAAAAAAGAAAAGAAAAAAAAGGACTTGGAAGATTAGCAGTTCAAAGTAACGTTACCAGTCTTTGGATCACACAGGAATATATGTCTTTATTTTAGAACACCATCAAAATATTGACTCTCTGAAGAAAAGGGCATCGTTTTTTTTATGTCAGCTTGATCCACAAATCAACATTTTTAAAGAATGTCTTTTCTTCCAACCCTTCCAAACCATAAAATATCTTTGTCATTATTATATTTTTGCTGCTTTGACATTTAAGATGGTTTACAAAATCTGCTATTGAGTTTCATGCTCAGACATTTTACCTCAAAATCTACACAGAAATATCTGAAAGTTCTTGAACGCTTTTCTAAAAATAAATTCATATTATTTCATGAAGTACAACACTATATATTTTTTTAAAGGCCTCTAAAATATGGCTTTGTCCAACAGTAAGGTTTTTTATAGGCTGAAGCAATGAGTTTTTATTTTCATCAGACTCTCTGATTTGATTCCCAGCAACTTGAATGAGAACAAGACCAGGCCTGCTACTCGCCTAGTTTTGTGCTCATATCTCTCTGAGTTTTATTTCATATGCCATTAGATTCGTCATTTTGTAGTTCAGGCCCAGAAAATAATGCATGCTCACTGTTAACGGTGAGAGTTGTGGCCGTCACCTCGTGGAATGAGAAAGCTGGAACAGAAGTCAGATTCAAGAACTTTTTGGCATTTTGTTAGCAAGCCTTTCTTCATTTTATCTGCAGTGTTTGCTGCTCTGATGAAATGGGACTTCCCAAGGGAGGATTAATGGTAAATTATAATGTATCAATTCCATCTGTAGGGCTGGCTGTTTTGCATTCCTTAGCTTGACTTCTTGGTTTATATTGAATTTAGAATGTCATAATTTCAATACTGAAATTACTTCCTTCTGTATTATATATCAAATTCCTCTTCTTTGCTCCCTATACCATGTACTAAATTAGTAGCAGGCTGCTTTGCTACTGCTAACAGGTAGGATTTCTAAGCCAGGCTCTACAAAAATATTAAGGAAGGAGAAGAACAAATGAAGGTAAATTTAAGTTAAGCTATTCTAGGTCACAACACAGATTAAAATAAATACAAACTTTGCTGTCAGTGACACCAAGGTAAATGTAGGAGGTATTACCAACTGGTTAACTGGTTCAGATGGGCATCATGACAAAGAATGTGTCAGGGACTAATGGTAAAATGACATTTTGTTGCAGCGACTTACAATATGATTAACCCTAGCAGAAGGAAAGAACACTTTAAGAACAATGCTTTGTAAAGGTGCATATAAAAGGCTGGAACATTAATGCAGCAATTCTTTATCCAGTTGAATTTCTTGTGTCAAAGGAGTAAGAAAAGATGCACTTTGGGAGGACAGCATATAGTTTTTCCTATCTCTTTGTTGTCTAGAGGTAAAAATCTGTATACATATTATCCTAGAAAATGCTGTGGTTATCTCTCACCTTTGGGGTCACACCAGAATGTGGATTTGCTTCTTCACGAAGACTAGAGAAAACTTGGGTGAAGGGCTGATTCCTGAGAAATAAAGGTTTCTTGTATTGGAAAGTAATAATAATTAGTTTAAGTCATTACATTGGGTATATAAATGTTATATGAAACGTTAAAGGCATCTGCACATTTAATCTTTAGACAGAATTATATTTAAAATAAATACTGTATATTTGCCATCTAATTTAATTCAATTTTGTATTCTGATTATATTAAGCACATCCAAAAATACCAGAACTGGTATGAGAAGAAATTTTATGTCTGTTAGAGGAAGACGTGCTTATAAGTTTGTCAAGTGCATTTTCACCACTCACACTTGTGAACAAACAAAAGGAGCAGCTTTGCCCTAAAATAGGCTCTTTGCTTTCCCAGACTCCTTTTGCTAAGCAGAAATTGCACAGGATCGTCTATTACTGCCACCTACTGATAAAGTGATAAAAGTCGACTGAAACAGAAACAAATACCAAGCCTCAGCTTGAATGACCTTAAAAGTGGCTTTTAATACATGTAGTGTCAGAAACAGAAAGCAAGCTCTTTAGCTTTTGTGGTCTGCATTCGGTAAGGTGTCACCTGGTCCCATGTGACTTCTGAGACGTGGTTCAACCTCACAGTTCAGTTCCAAACTTCTCAGTTTAGGAAAAGATGGAAGTCATATAAACCATTTGGTTAAATAGGTCATAAAATAAACAATTAAAAACTTGTGGCAATCTTTGGGTGTACCAGTTGGAGTTGCTGTGTACTCCCTTCCTGTATTTCTTTTTCCAGTTTGAACTGTTACCCGGGTGTCTCTTCCTGAGTGTGGCCAGTTGTGCCACCACTTGTATCTTTGTCACTTTTCTCCCTTTAGTAAGTGACATGGCCGCAAACTGCACTCAGTCCTGGCTCTAGGACTGAAGTGGGCC